AAAAAAAAAAAAAAAAACAACAAAAAGCTTATTCCTCACCAGGAACTATTACAAATACAGAAAAAAAATTCTAATTAACAGTCTCGAGTTATCTTGTCTATTTTGAAGGCACATTTGAACCAAATATAAAAAAAATATTTTAAATATAAACATTTCTACTTTTTTAATAACTTAAAATGATTAAGACTAGACATGTTGAAATACTAAAATCAAAAGGTAAAGTGCTTTACAGACATTATTGTTTCTGTGAGTGTTCTACTAAAGCACATAATCAAAATGACATGACCCAGGGAGTGAAAATTCTAAGGCCGTGTCCTCTGTTTCCTCCTTTGTGTAGTAAGGATTGCCTAAATATTGCCCAAATGTAACGCTATCAAGACTTATAGAGAAAGTCATCTGATCACATGGCACGGAGCATGGAAACCAGCAAATGCCATGCTCCTTGAAAGGTGAGCATGTAGCACGGCCCCCAGTGAAGCATGCCTCCCATTATTCATGCCCTTGAATCTAGACTAAGCCTGTGGCTTGTTTTAAGCAACAAAATGTGGCAGAAATGATGTTGTGTCTGTTCTGGACCTAACCCTTCAGGAGGCCTGGCTGCTTCCACTTGTGTATCCATCACAGGCTACCATGCTAGAGGCCACATGGAAAGGACTTCTCAGTAAGGGACACAGGGAGAAGCTACATGGAGAAAAGTGAGATGGAGTCACCCCAACATCCTGGCTGAGTCTAATGACAGCTACCCCAGCTATCTGCAGCCACATAAGGGACATAGCTGAGCTCAGTCCAGATCACAGGATCCTGAGCAAACAAAACGGCTGTTTACTTAAGCTGCTGAGTTTTGGCTGTTTTGTTACACAGCAGTTCACAGTTAAACTGAGGAATTGCCCAACATACCACTGTGCAGAACAGAGGGACGTTCGGGATGAATTACAGAGGATCCTGAAACACACTTGGCCAACCTGACAATGATACCTGGGATCTGGATGTATTATCAAATCCTTCACACAACAAGACCAAATCTTAATAATTTAAAGAACTGGGATAAAAGTAATTATAAACAAATAATCATCACAGAATCTTAGTGCTAGAAAGAGCCTTACATCTAGACCAGCCCCTCATTTTACGAATAAAAAAGAAGGTCAAAGGTAACATTCACAGCAGGGGACGATGTTCTGACCAGAAAGAAATCAGCTCTTGGTAGATTCTCAGTCACATGCTTCTCCCACTCTTATCTAATTTATCTGAAACAAAGCTAAGTTTACAAAAAGTTTTAGGTAAGATAATCACTCAATTAATATTTCTAAAAATGAGATAAAAACAAAACAGTATCTATAAATTTTCATTTTAATTGATATAGTTTTAAATTAAATATCAAAACTGTGAAAACTACAAGATACAGTATTTAAAAAATAATTAAAATTACCACTTTTCAAGCTGGGTGTGGTGGCTCATGCCTGTAATCCCAGCACTCTAGGAGGCCAAGGGGTGGACTGCCTGAGTTCATAGGTTTGAGACCAGCCTGAGCTAGAGCAAGACCCCATCTCTAAAAAAAATAGCTGGGCATTATGGTGGGCACCTGTAGTCCCAACTACTTGGGAGGCTGAGGCAAGAGAATCACTCCAGCCCGAGTTTGAGGCTGCTGTGAGCTATGATGCCATAGCACTCTATGGAGGGCGACAAAGTAAGAATCTCTCTCTCAAAAAAAAAAAAACCAGTTACTGCCTTTCAGTTGTTACTTACATTTCACTTCCACTTGAAATCTTTTTGATTTTCTTCTTTAGTGCTTTTAGTCTGTCTTGAATTTCTTTTCTCTCCTGTTGCCATTTTTTAACTTCTGTTTCCAAATCTTGAAGAAACCAATCTAATTCTGTCTTTGAGATCTAAAAACATTTTACAAGGACTTAAATAAATGACAAGATTTACTTTTTTAAAAGAAGAGCTCAAAAGACTAGATTGTGACAGTATTAAAGCTTAAACAATGACTCAAGTTCAGTGGAAGAGATACTCTAGACCTATGGATACAAAGTCACATCACACAGCCACATCCTCCCAGCAGGGGTGCTTTAATGAGACCAGAACTACCCACACTTCACTCTTTGGCCTAAATGATCCTCTCTAATCTACAAGTAGTTTGCATACATGTTGTAGTTAGCACAGGTATTGTTTTTATAAGTATAAATGTGATCTTCTGGCTATCAGTAAAGGCATTTGGGTTGTAATAACTGCCAGAACTTCAGGCAGTGTGACAAAGAGACCTGAAAACCTCCCCTGAGGCAATGCTGGCAACTCTCCCCTGGAGGGTTAGGAACGCCACTTGGTACCCAGCCCTCTGTCAGCATACAGGTAGTTGCTGCTTTTTCAAACTTCTCAACCTACAAATTCCCTAAAAGTTTTTTCATTTCCAAAATATCATCCATTCAGTGATAGCAAGGGGCTTAGGGTGGGGCACATGCTTATAAATACCAGTCATTTATAAGCAAAATATCCTCTCCATGTTAATATTTCTAATAAATTAAATATAAATTAGATAATTAAAGCAATATTTAAAAGAAACCAAAAGAAACATGTTAAATATTTTCCAGTTGAAAAATTCTACTAGTGTCAACAACTGCTTAATGAAATCCTAACTTCATTATCTGCTTTAATTTTTAACTTCTTATTAGGTTCTGTGAAGTCTGAACTTCTTGCTTAGGCTTAGAACAAGACTAGGTCACTGCGGACAAGTACTCAGCTATAGGAACACAGGGACTTCTCCCTCAGAAAGGACCCTAAAGTCAACCTACGTGGACTTCATGGGAAATAATGGCCCTCAAGTCAAAAGCTCTATCAACTTAAGAGGCCACTGCTTCCTCTTCAGCCTTAGACACCAAGGTTTTCAACATTTCTGGGAGGCAGATTTCTTAACTGATCAAGATCTTTTAAGACTTCTGAGTCCTATCGCAGGAGTAAGGGTGATGCTGGCTCACATTTTCTTTGCTGCAACCTTGCTGATCCTGAATTTCTTATTACTGTGACTGGGATAACTACCATGCCTACAAAATCTATTCTATTTATTCTACCTGGTTCCATTTCCTGAAAGTTTGGGCCAATAATGTGAGTGTGCATTATACAAAGGAGCACATTTTACAAGGCAAGATACAGTATATCCTTGATCAATACTACAACCAGTTATAACCTGCCAGCCACAGGTTAGAGTACATTAAGAA